GCTTATGCTCATTCAAATTCTGAAAAAGAGTTATGGTTCAACATTTGGTCGTAGGTTATTTGCGTTGCAAGAAATTGATGAAATTCCATTGTATAGAATAAATAATTTTACAGCTATTCTAAAGTTATTTGGAGCTTCACTTAATGCAATTAATGATCCATTCCAGGCCTACGGAGGAACAAGTATTACCAATGAAGCAATCAATTAACGAATCATAGTTTTTAACTTGATTCTATTGATCACGTTTCGTAATTGTTTAGCAATTTGAATCGATATCATGTCATCATCAATTATTCATAGAACCACTTTCAACCCTCTTCTCCATAGATCTTTAAGTCTTTTCCTAGTTCCACCACTAGTTATACAGATGTGAATTGTTATTCTGAAATTTATACATCCTTCTAATAAACAACATCAGAGTGAATGAAAACAATATAATCGAAACACATATCAATTGTTCTATCATCAGCCAACGATTGTGACCTGCAATATGACTCATTAATTGAAGAAATGAGAAAAGAAATTCGTCGTATATTAAAAGTTCATTTATAGCACAATAAGCATAAAACTAATAAAAAAAAAACAGTCATAAACAGCATGTAGCGAAAAAAAATATCATTGTTTTGAAAACTTAGCGAGCTTGCACTAGACTTCAATTAGCATTCATGTTGAAGTTAAATTCAGTGAACGATTAGATCACATGAGATAGTTAATACAACCAACAATAGTCAAAGTTTTATAACTTTTTACACATATCAAATATGTAATTTTTTTCTGATTATTTTTATCGCTGACATTGTTTATTTATTCATATATGTATACATTTTCTCAACGTGCTGAAAATCATTTCTTTTCTTTCGTTTCTATATATAAACGAAAATCGAATAGGAAAAAGGATAAAGAAATAAAGTACAACGAAATGAATCATAATTTTTTACAAAAAAAAATCATCTTCGATTAATTGATTTATTTTTGTTTTTTTTTGTTTTCATTGAATTAAAACGATGATATTTTATAAACATACAAGTAAACTTTTGGATAATATAGATTTAATTATTGAATATCATTTAAATGAAATTGAAATAAATATTAAATGGTCTTCAAAAAAAGAATTCAATAAATGGAATATATCTTATATTGATGATGAATGTACATTACCATTAAATTCACCATTATTTTATCTTTGTTCATCATCAAAAAATTCATCATTATTAAATTCAACATTTTATTCTTATTGGTTTTTATTAGAAAGTTCATTTTATCAACGTCTTTTTTCTCATATAACAAATGATGATGATCATTTTATTTTATTAATTTGTTTATCTGATGGTCGTATTATTGCTTTATCAGAATCATTAAAAGATTCAAAAGCTGTTATTTGGTATACTTCTTTAAGTTCAAATCCAATAACAATTCTTGGTCTTTATTATGATTTAAATAGAAATTTACTTGATGCTGTTTTATCATCATCATCAACAACAAATAATAAATTTCCAAAATTAATATTAAATCATTTAATTTTATGTGAATTTATTGGAAGTTTAATTTTATTAAATTCAACTAATTTTCATCGAATACTTCTTGATAATTTAATTAAATCTCCATGTATTTATTTAAATAATTTTATATATATAACAAAAAATGAAATTCGATCAATATCAATATCAAATTTATTAAAATTATCAAATGAAAATCTTATAAGTCAAACAAATATTTTAAGATTTGGACATTTTCAAAAGTTAATTGTTGGTAAGATGTATATAATTTATAATTTCAAATATCAATTAATTTTCATGTACATGTGATTAATCTTTTCTTGTTGTTCTGTAGAAAGTTTATAAAAGATTGGTTCTACAAGTAAAATTAATTGAGAAATATTTTAAAATTTCCTTTTTTTTTTTTGTCATAAAAAATCATAAGATAATCTTTAAAAACTTTCTACAAAATGTATATAAAATATATTTTCGATAGATATGAAAATTAGTTCAATTTTGTGTACTTGAAATAAAAAGTGTTATTGTTTTTTTGCTTTTCTTTTAATTTAATTATAATTATTTAGATGGACAAGAAATAATAATTTATTATGATAATGGTCGTTTTGAACGAGTAAATAATCTTCTTCCAAATGCTTCGAATTTCTCACATAGAAATTCTCTTTTAAATCAAACAAAAAAACTTGCATATTTAACAACAACAATAACTAATTTACAATCAAATATTTGTTTATTACAACGAATATTAAATAAAATAGATATATTTTATCAATTAAATATAAATAATTGTTTAAAATTAATTAATAATCAATGGAAATTAATTTTAAATGAACAACAATTAAGAATATTTCAATTAAATGATTTTCTATTAATATTAATATGTTATTTATCATCAAATAATATTAAAATTTATCAATTAAATTCAATAAATGATTGGATATTTAAAATGAATGAAATAATTTCGATGACATATATTTGTCAACCAATACTTATTTTTCGATATCAAAATCAATATTATTTTCAATTAGCTTCAAAAAGAATTATTTTATCATTACAAGAACAAATTCAATATGATGAAATTTCATTTGAAAATTATTTTATAAATAAATTTAAATCATTAAAAACAAATAATTTATCAATTCAACAATATCATTTAGCTTTAACAATTCAAAATGATGCTGCAAGATATTTTCAAAGTAAAAAAAAAAATATTTTTTACCATTTAAAAAAAGTCATAAAAATTCATTATTCATTTATTTAAGAGTTGAATATGAATATTACACGACGATTATTAATTGGTCGAATGGATATGATTAATATAGAATGTAAACAACAAGAAATTAAAGTTGATACAAATGAAGGTCTTGTAGATTCATTAACTATTCAAATAATACTTTCAACATCATGTCTTCGTCGATTAATTATTACTTTTTCAACTCTTATGGAAGTAAATTAGACACAAAAAAAAATAGATATTATTTTTTCTACAGTTTAATCATTTTAGTTATTCTATGGACATAAAATAATTGAAGAAAAAAATTTTATTAAACAAACTGATATAGTAAAATTAATTGATCTTATACAAGTAAATATTTTCTAATGATTTTATATGGATGTAAAATCTTTTCTTTTTTATGAAAGGAAATTCAAACAAAATTATCAAATAATATCGAAGAATTAACTGATGAACTATTACTTGGTTTACTTCAAATTCGTATTTATTTATCTATGTTTCGACTTGGTTCTAATTATTCTGTTCAAGTTTATTAAAATAAAAAAAAAAACTTTTTTTTTTCGAAAATATATCTTTGATCTATAGATTACTTTGAATGAGAAAGATAAAGAACGTGTGAATTGTGGACACAAAGAAAACATTCACAAGCAGTAATGAACTTTTTTCTTTCTATCTGATAAGGAACGGGAGAATTTCATTTTTATATTCGTATTTACGACAATATTAACTAAAAGATTTTGGAGACAAAGTATTGGCTCTTATTGGTTGGAACGGTACAGAGATCTTTATCTCGGCAAGTTGCAGGGCTGCTAAGTTGCAAAGAATAACAGGATATTTTTGTATTCGAGATTTATTGATCTAGTAATATTCATGGCTGATATGTCAGCTGATACATCGGATGATCAATTAGGATCCAAAAGTGCAATTCTACCAACACTAACGTCAAGATACGAGAAATTTGACATTGATAACTCTACTGAAGTAACAGTAAAGAGTGGCAAGTTCGTATAACGAAGCTTTAAAAAAATCTGTTGTCATAGCTCATTGTCAATATAGAATACTAGGTCCCCTTGCCATAACTCTGCTTGCACTATTAGTATTTCGGTATCCACTAATTCATCGACCATACTGTCAACGATGGATGTCACTTCGACAATCACTTCTACTACAATAGATACGACGGGTGAGATACGAGCATAGGAGAATTTGTTTTTCATTTATCTTTTGCTATCAACAGTCACTTGCGCATTGGAAATGTAAGTATGGCTGTGAGTGCAAGTGGACGAAAGACCTACATCTCGGATCCAAAGTCTTGTGGGAGTATTCAATCAAACATTCTGTTTTGAACATTTTTTATTGTCCGTATGGTTTAAAAATCTCATATCACTCTTGTAATGAGACTTATTTAATCTATGGTCAGTATGAACAATCATCGATTACCCACAAATGTGGAGAAAGCTAAATCTGCCATTTAAAAGACAACGATCTATAGTATTTGAAATGGAAGCGTTCTTATTTAGCAGTATTGAATTCCTTGAACTCGCGAAATCTTTCTTGAAGTGAACAACTCTCTGATTTGCAGAAGAGATAATTTTGCAATACATCAGCAGAGAAAAATTTTCCAATTAGTTATTAATCAATTGGATATGAAATATTCTCTCAACATATGAACTTCATGCAAATGTCAGATGTCTACGAGTTAAAAGAATACATCCAAAATTGATCTCTATTTTTGATGAAATTTTGCTTTTGTTGTATGTTGAGAGCATAAAATATTGTTCACTATTTTTGTTGTAATATAACTTTTCTTTGTTGCCAAATTTTTTTATGTCAAAGAAGTTGAAACATTTTTTCGTCGAATTCTACTGAAAAAACCTTTTATTATATGTAGAATCCTATGTTGGAAATATTTATTCTGCTTTCATCCTTGTTCAAACTCTGATTGTTTGAAACATGATGAAATTCCATAACGAACACTTTTTAGTTTGTTGTTCACTGTAGCTAGGCTTGTTAGAAAATAATCTAATATTTTGAAAGTTTTTAAAATATGAACAACTTTTACGCAGAGCGCTTGTTTGAATGTTGCTTTGTTCCCTAGTAAAACACTAAACTCTCAGCTACGCTAAAAAATTTCTTTTTTTGAAATTTTGTAACGGCCAATATTTTCTAAATAGTTCTTTTAATCTATAGAGTATTGAACATTTTTTTGATACTTCGCTTTTGAGCCTGAATATGTTCAGATGATTCTTCTAGAATGGTTGAACACCGATAGCATGAATTCTGCGCGATATGACCACACAGCATCCGTGTTAACAAATGGAAAAGTATTAGTTACTGGTGGACAAAACGGTATTTCTTCTCTAAATAGTGCTAAATTGTATGATCCATCCACAGGAACTTGGACAATGACTGGTAGTATGAATTATGCACGATATCTACATGCAGCATCCGTATTAACAAATGGAAAAGTGTTAGTTACTGGTGAATTGATGAATACTGCTCTAAATAATTCAGAGTTATATTAATTATCTCAAACAAATGAACAATGAATAATTGTATGTTTATAGGTAGATGCAATCCGCATTCAAACACTAATTCGGTAAAGAGAACTATTAGATTTAAATGTCAGTGAATAGCTACTGTATATTTTCTTTGTTTGACTGTCATAGACTTGAGAGCTCGATATTATATTTTGGTGTGTTAAGCATATTGTGATAAAAAAAAGTCTCAGTTAATGCATTGATTTTGATCTTCTATCAAAAAATTTATTTTTCTTTATGTCCGTAATCAATGTTCTATCACTAATGAGGACAGCATCGATAGATTAAAGTTTAACTTGATGTATGCACATTTTCAAAGGTTTTCTTTTCCTCTTGGATAGAAATTGCAGCATCGTGTATCTTTCGGCAAAGCAAAGCTATCTAAAACAGCCTCAGTGATCAATCTTCGCTTGTAATGATCGATCCATTTTGTAAATATTTTTGAATAATTTTTATGTTATTTTTGATAGTTTTAGTGAATGCGCTGAATTTTAGCAAAAACTTAGATGTTTATTATTTCACTGTGTATAGACAAACTATTGATCACTTCTAATATCATCGACAAATTATGAGCTTATTATCGATAACAATAAATGACTCAAACATACTTCTGATGTGTTTCCCCACGAAACTTTTTCCAAAAAGTGAAGATGTCAAGAAATTGCATACTGACAGTGCTTCCTGTATCACTCTAGTGGCAGTTCTAGCAACCTTATGAAAATTCAGAAAAAATATCTCATTAGTCGTTTGTAATCGAAACTGTCTATATATAGCTGCTGTATCACATTGTTCAATGATTTTTTTTTTCTTATTGAGCATTGATAAGTGTCGATCTCAAACTAGTCAACTATTGCTCCATCAATTAATTCATACTATCAAATTATAAATGTCCAATTTGACTTCAGTTATCTTTGGAAACGAAACGATCAATAAAATTGAAAATAAATAAAGTAAGCGTTTTGCTTTGTTGCACATTTGAAACTAGATGAAGTCCATCACATATGACAAGGAATTGTCGTCGTTTTTTGCTCATCATTGACAGTGAACATCGTCTCAAACAACGTAGACCAACATAGAAATTCGACTAGAAATCGATTTGAACCCGAGCCTAATCGATTAGTTATTTTAAAAAACAACTGGCATTATCTAATCCAGAGTTATCGAAAATGGCACAACTTAAAATGCGGATGTGAATGTGGATCTTCTCTTCAATGACATCTACACCCACCTTCAAGTGGTAGTATTTAATGAGATGGATGGTCAAACATTTTTTTTACTTCATTTTGTTAAAAATGGAAAAAAGAATTTAAATACTTTCAATATAGTAGGTATTGTTTTTATTGAATTATAAAAGATTGTGTTGAAGAATCAAAATGAATAACATTATTTTACATTAAACTTGATTAAATAAAAATTAAAAAAAAAAAAGTAAAAGTAAAAGTCAATTAATGTGTTTGTTGCTGAAGTATATAAATAATATTATTAAATTTCATTTGTAATGCAATATCTAAAGGAGAATATCCCCAACGATCTTTATGATTAATTCCATGATAACCTAAATGAATAAGAAGTTGAATAACATCAATATGTCCATAAGTTGTAGCTAAATGCATTGGTGTTCTTCCATCATAGTCTGCATATAATTCTTGTTTAACAAAATATCCTCGATTAAAAAGTGATTCAATTCGTTGTGTATTACCTGATGCAGACAATGTTAAAAAAAGATAAATTTTTTTCCATTTATTTAAAATAGAAATCATTGTTTTATTTTGTGAATTTATTTCATATTCAATAGAATTATTTTCCATAGATAATAAATGTTCTTTAATAAAATTAATAATATGATTATGTTTATAAATAAATGCATAATCTAATGTTGATAAATTCCATCGATCTTCTCGATTAATAATTTGTTGAAAATGAGATTTTGAACAATATTCAGATAAATATTTAATTATTTCAAATTGACCTTTAATAGCAGCTATATGTGATAAATAACGATTATCATAATCAAAACAATCAAATACTTTTATATTTGGATATTCATTAATAAAATTTGCTAATTTATCAATATTATTATCATTAGCACTAATCGAAAGTAGATAAGGTAAAAGATTTTGTTCTAAACTTATGGAAGAAATATTATTTTTATTATTAATTTGTTCAGTTGAATCGACTTTTGTAATAATTTGAATATTTTTATTGATAATAATCTGATTTTTTTTCTCTAATAAATAATTAGCAATATCAGATTGTGATAATTCTAATGCATATTGATATGGTGTTTTATTAAAATGATCTTTTATATCCAAAGAAATCGATGTTTGTTCAACTAAATAACGAATAATATTGAGATTATTTGTATTAACAGCTAAATGTAAAGAATATCTTCCATCATAATCAGTTTCATTTGGATTAAAACCTAATTGAATTAAATATTTAATTCCATCAATATAATTTTCATAAATAAAAGCATTTAAATAGAAAGATAATTCTTTATATTTTGTTGATGGAAATTTTCCTCCATTTAAATAAATATAATTAGTTACATTTAAATTTCCATTTATGAATCCATCAAATAATGGTGTTGAACCAAAATTATCCATTGAATTAATATTTATTTTAACTTTTTTAATAAGCCATTTTGATATTCTTAAATAACCTTGACATGCACTTATATGAAGTGGAGTTCGATTAGTAAAATCAATACAATGAATATTATTTATTTTATTAAATAAAATTTTCATTTTTTTCAAATCATTTCTAAATGTATATGTAGACATTAATATTGGAATGAATTCTTTTTCTATTTTTATTAATTCAATATTTGTTATATCTTCATTTAAAGATGATATGATTGAACTTAATTTATTCATATATTTAAATTCAGTTTTAACAAATTTTGAAAGACGATATCTATACAAATGATCTTCAGGTATATTACAATCTGTTAATTTAACTGGAACTAAATTTTTTGTAGGAATCATTAAACAAAATATCCAACAGATAAAAGTAAATGGAAATGTAAAAGTTGGCATACCACATGATGACAAAAATGATGATACTGCTCCTTGAACAAATATTGTTAATATTGATCCATATAATGTAAATAACCATATTTGATATCCATAAAGAACTAAAAACATTCCACCTAATGCTTGACATGTTAATACTGTATTATAACCCCATAATCCATTATAAATTGCATTTCTAGGTAATCCTAATAGATAAGCTGCAGTTAATTGACCTGTAACTGCTCCGAATAAAGCAAAAAATGCAAGAATTCTAGAACAAAGTCCAACACCAACAAGAATAATACCACCTGTATAAGGATATTCAATGAAAAAAACTTGTGCAATACTTGCAAAAAAACCAACAAAATTATCTTCAACTGAATAACCAGGAAAAGATACATTGAGTAATTGTGGTTTATTAACAACTGTTGTTAATAATGTTGGACTTAAAATATTTCCATTAATAAAATAATATCGGTATTTAAGCGCTCCAAGAAGCCATATCCAACTTGAAACTTGAAAACTAAATGTGAATGGTGGAATTCCAAGACGATGAACAAGAATTTTCGATATTGATTGATAAAATATTGTTGAAAATATACTCATTATTATAACAAATGGAATGATTTGAGGAGATTTAGCAAATGTAAAATAACCAATAGCCATAGCTGTTAAACATCCATTATAACCGTATAAACCAGCTCGAATTGAATTATAATTAAAATGAAATAAATGAGCTGTTAATGTTGAACATGTTGTTCCAAGAATTCCATATAGTGTTAATTCCCAATTTCCAATAAATAATCCAATTGTTATTATTACACCTGATAAAGGATTATTAGCAAACATGACTTGACTTATACCACGAAATATTGAATCTATTAATATTAATAGAAATTTAAATCGTTTAAAATTTTTCATAAAATTATCTTTTCGATAAATATTATCAATATGAGACATTGATCCAATAAATGATCGCCAGCTTAGTTTTTCCTTATTTATATTAATATGATTTTCATCTTCATAAAGAATATTTTCTTCAAATAAAGACCAAATTCTTTTATTTGATTCTTGTTCATTATCATTTGAAATAAAATTTGATAAGTTATTATTTAAATATTCTCTGTTCATTGTGGATGAATATTGAATATTTTCATTACTTTCTTCCAATGAAATATTTTCTTTTCTTGAACTTATCACTAAAATTATTAA